TCCCTTCTTTTCAAGCAAGGGAGTTCCTTGCTCACTTCAGCTCTGGAGTTGCTGCTGAAGACTCAAAACCAGGGCTCTCCTGCTGGTATTCCCATGGGCCACCAGTAACTCCACATTTGGCTGATGGAGAGAAGGGGAGGGAGGGCTCTGGCCCTGTGTCCCCACCCTGGGGGAAGGGTTGGCCAAGCCCATCTGCCCTGAGCCCCCTGCTCCCTCAGGAATGATGCCTGGGATGCAGGGGTCCCCACGTTGGAGTCTCTTTCCTCCTTCCTGGGTCTCTGGGGAGATCCTGAGCTCCCAGTGCAGGGAGCAGCGTTGATGATGTGGCTGTCAAGAGGAGGCCAAGCCTGTCAGGTTTTAATTAAACAATTATCTTCCTGAAATTGGCATTTTCTCTCAGTCCTGGATCCACGAGCTGAATCCTAATGAGACCAGGAGAGGAGAGCAGGAGGCAAGAGCCTTTGGGGAAGCCCCTGGAGGGGAGAGAGGAGCACATGAGGGGGTGATGGGGCTGGAGGAAATGGGGGCTGCAACAGGCTCCTGGTGCCCTTGGATCCAGCCTGGAAGCCTGTGGGATCACTGCTGGCATCACCCCTGCAGCATCACCTCTGGGTGCACGTGCAGGTGCAGGGAGGGTTTCTGCCCCCACCCCACTGGGTGCAACAGCCACGTTTTGGGGGAAAGAGGCTGTTTTACAGGATGACATCTGTGTGCTGCCTGGCACAACAGGGTCCTGGGAAAAAGCCCCCCCCCAGCATCATGGCCATGATGGGAAGATGAGACTGAGTGTTGGGGATGCTTCCCATTGGAGATGCTTCCTGCCTGAGCCCCAGGAGGTTTGTCTCCCCTGAATGATTTGTCTCCTGGTCTGGCCCCTGCTTTTTGTGGCTGGGACAGATGGTTTTGCTTTGTGGAGGATTGTGTCCCAGTGAACTGAGCACCTCCCAGCAACTGGGAGGCAGGATGAGTGCCTGTCAGTGTGTCTGCCCTGCTTAGTGTGCACATCTGGAAGGAGCCGGAGCCGCCGGGATTTCCAGCCCTGCTGGGATCTCAGCTGGGATATTTATGGCTCAGAGGGATCTTCATGGCATCCTCAGCCTTTGAGCTTGGCTTTTACAGGTACTTCAAAAGGAGATCACTATTTTGGAGGTGTAGAGCTCAGAAAATAGATGAAACTGTGTTTTTCAGAGGAATTATCTTTGGAATGGTTTTGCTTACAGTCCTTCTTCTGCATGAAACTCTGCAGAGACACACGGGGGAAGGGGGTCCCAGGACCAGCCCCATCCATGCAGCAATGTCCTGCAGCTCATGCACCATCTCCCTGGAGAAATAAGGGAGCCTGGAAAAAATCTGTCTTCCCAGGGCGGAAAGGTCCTTAAAAAATCATTTGATCCAGAGGGAAAGGGTACATCAGTGATGCAGCTCTTGTGTCAATGCCCTTCCCACAGGAAAGTCACCACTGGCACTGGAGAGCAGCTCTGGATAAACTGTCACCTTTACCAGTCCTGACTCCTCCCTTGGGTTTTAAAATTACCCCCCCTGGCCCCACAGCTGCTGAGTGGTTCTTGGGCTGAAATGGTTGGTGCTTGAATTGGATGTGACCTATTGCATGGAAACTGGGTTTGTTTTAGAACTCACCAGGATGAAGAAAGGTGAGACTGAAGTGGAACAGGGTGACTTGGTTTTCATCAATATTTGGGTTCAACCCAAAGGAACCCTTCACCCTCTAGCTCTCCTGAAGTGTTTCCAGTGCTGGTTTTCTGCCCTGCTTGCTTTGGTGGACAGACAGGAGCCATAGGCTTCAGTGGGTGGGGAGAGCCATGGCCTAGGGCACTGCTGTCCCTGGCCCAGGGGAAGGGATGTCCCCACTTGCTTCCCATGCTCTGCTCTTCCCTGCCCAGGTGGACCCTTACCTGCCTTATGAGTACACCTGTGAGGGGATGCTGGAGAGGATCCATGCCTACATTCAGCACCAGGTTGGTGACCATCCCTGTTCTCCATGGGGTTCCATCCCTGTTCTCCATGGGTTCCCATCCCTGTTCTCCCATCAGTCTGTTCCTCTGGGTAAGCAACCACTGCCCTCCTGCATCTCTCCAGTGAGGGACCCCAGGTCCCAGCCCTGTACAGCTGGTGACCTGATTGCAGAGAGCAGCAGGAGTTGGGGGCTGGGGGAGATTTTTCATGAATCAAAGGTTCTGGGGGTCGGTGGAGGGTGGCAGGGGTGGTGGGGCTGGGTCAAGGCCTTTCTGCTGCAGACAATAAGGCAGCACCCATCTATGCATGCAGGTGACCTCTACCTGAGGAGCAAACTCAACCTCCCAAGTGTCCTTCTGTCCCACCAGCAGCCTCCCTTCCCCACCCCTGATGTCTCACCCTGCCCCTCCAGGCACTGACCCACTCTCTTCTCTCCCCCTAGGATTTCTGCACCACATCATCTCCTCCTGTACCACCCAAGGCCAAGAGTCCTGCTATGCAAAGCCCTCCGAGCCCCCTGGCCCTGTCCCCCAATGCCACCCACCTGGTGTGGTCCCCCCGGCCCGGCCGGGACCCCCGGGCCTGGCCCCCCCTGGACTCCCTGCAGGTCTGGGTGTCGGGGACCCAACACTCCTGCACCCAGACGTGCCGCCTGCACGGGCTGGTCTGCGAGCCCACCTTCTTCAGGTTCCTCAACAAGAAGGAGGTGTTTCTCCAGTGAGTTTCGTAGCATCCTGGAATCACAGACTGGTTTGGGTTGGAAGGAACCCTAAAGCTCATCTAGATCCCACCCAACCTGCGTGGGCAGGGACACCTCCCACCAGGCCAGGTTGCTCAGAGCCACATCCAACCTGCCCTTCAACACTTCTCAGAGAGGTGGGGGGGGACAGCAGCACCTAAACAAGTTCCCTTTTGGTCTCCCCATCCCATTTCCCTCCCCAAAACCCCCTGGAGGTGCTGCCTGCAGAGCAGCCCCTCGTTGGCCTGATCCAGCTTCACACTTCAGAAGGCACCGATTGCCTTTCCAGGCACGTTTCCTTCTCTCCCCCACCCCCTTCCTCTCCACCTCCTCCGTGCTCTCTCCCCTTTTCTTTTTTTTTCCTTTAATGTTCTTCCCTATCAAGCAGCATTTTGAACACCCAGTGGTGAAGTTTTAATGGAGTATAAATCTGCCACGGGCTGGGAGCTGCTCTGCAGGCAATTAAAAGCTGAGTGTTCCCGGGGCTGCCGAGCTGGTCAGGCAGGCACCGTCTGTCCCCCGGACATTTTGATAGGATAAATCAGAGCTGGAGCTTGGATTTCACTCCATGTTCCCCTCCTGACACCACTGAGAAGAGTCTGGCCCCATCCTCCTGACACCTCCCTTTAGATATTTCTGAACATTGATGAGATCCCCCCTCAGCCTCTTTTTTCTCCAGGCTGAGCAGCCCCAGCCCTCCCAACCTTCCTCACAGGGCAGATGTTCCAGTCCTCTGGAACTCCCTCCACTAGTCCTTTGTCCTTCTTGAACGGGGTGATTGTCCCCCTGTGCTCAGCACTGGGGAGGCCACCTGGAGTGTTGTGTCCAGTTCTGGGCACCTCAATTCATGAGAGATCTGGAGGTGCTGGAGTGAGGACAGAGGAGGGCAATGGAGCTGGTGAAGGGCCTGGAGAATCCATCTGATGAGGAACCCTTGAAGGAGCTGGGAATGTTTAGTCTGAGGAAGAGGAGGCTGAGGGGAGACCTCATCAGTCTCTACAACTGCCTGAAGGGTCATTGCAGAGAGGTTGGTGCTGGTCTCTTCTCACAGGTCATTAGTGACAGAACAAGAGGGAAGGGCTTCAAGCTGCACCAGGGCAGGGTCAGACTGGGCATGAGGGAAAATTTCTTCACAGCAAGAGTGGTCAGAGACTGGAACAGGCTGCCCAGGGAGGTGGTGGAGTCACCATCCCTGGGTGTGTTGAAGGGCTGTTTGGATGTGGTGTTGGTGGAGATGGTTTAGGAGAGAACTTTGTAGAGTAGGGGTGATGGTTGGGCTGGGTGATCCCAAGGGGCTTTGCCAACCTCAATGGTTCTGGGATTCTATGGGGAGCCCAGAACTGTACCTGATAGCCCAGGTGAGGATTCAGCCTCCTCACCTGAACTGACCCAACTGACCCCTCCATTTTGTCTCTGTCCCCAGGCTCAGCATCGCCTGCGACAGCACCGAGTACGAGATGAACCACCTGTACCCGGCGGTGGCCGAGAACGTCCGCGAGTGCTACCTGCAGAAAGAGCCCCTGCTCTTCAGCTGCGCGGGGCACAACCCCAAGTACCGGCGCCTCTGCCCCTGCCGCGACTACCGGCGGGGGCCGGGGGGCCCGCGGCGGGGCCCCTCATGGGGCAGGTGGCTCTGTGCAGGGACTGCTGGTGACATGGGGCAGGTGGCTCTGTGCAGGGACTGCTGGTGACATGGGGCAGGTGGCTCTGTGCAGGGACTGCTGGTGACATGGGGCAGGTGGCTCTGTGCAGGGACTGCTGGTGACATGGGGCTGTGCAGGGACTGCTGGTGACACGGGCTGCACGTGTCCCCTCCGGCCAAGCCACGGGGGCTCTTCTCAAAGCTTCTGCAACAGCCGAGGGAGGTGGGACAGGTCCCTCCCTTGGGGGTGTTGGACTCTGGGGGTTGTTTAATCCACCAGTCAACTGTGAGTGACCACGTCCTGACCTTTGGTGTCATCTTCTCCTCGAGGAGCATCGTCCGGCCGCGTCCCAACCCACCTGGACCTGGTGGCCCTGGGACGGGGCAGTGGGCAGAGGAGGGCTGGGGACACTCTTCCCTCCTCTGGCAAAGGGGACAAGCCACCAGCAGACTGAAGTTTCCGGGGTGTCATCCTCTTCAAGCATCCTAGGTTGTTTTATTTATTGATTTGATTTTTTTTTGTTTGGTTGGTTTTTTTAACCCTCCCCCCTGACAAGTGGTAAATTAAAGGGGAAGCAACACCCAGCCCCTCTGTGGGAGTTACTGGGGCAGAGCTGTGCTGGGGTGGGGGAGGAACTGGGGGGCTACTGGTGCCTGCCTTGGTTGTGGGGCTGGGGGAGGACAAAGCCCAAGAAGAGCAGCTGAGTTGGATGGACCCAGCAGGGCCTGCAACCATGGTGTCCCCAGGAGGAGCTGGTGGGGACTGGACATCCTCTAGGCTGTCCATGGAAAGCGAGAGCCAGGAGGGGCTGGGAAGAGCTCCTGGGAAGGCTGCTGGTCCCTGGGCAGTGCTGCCAACAGGGCAGAGGTGCCTGAAGCAAGTTACCACTCCAGCTGTCCAACAACACGGGGCACGTCCCCTTGGCTCCATCTCCCTGCTCTGGCCCCAGCAAGGGGGACACCACCTGGTGCTCCTGTCCTGGCATCCCTTCAGCCAAGCCCTTGCCCCACCACAGCCAGACCTGTGCTGGGGGAGGCAGAACCTGCAACCACTGCTGTTACCCTGGAGCAATTTGTCATCCTCAGCTCAAAACGATGGAGGCAGCCTCTGTCCCCCCTGCTGCACCAGCCCAGGGGAAGGATTGCTGAGGTGATTTTTGAGCCCTGCAGCCAGGCAGCCTGTGACCAACAGCCAGGCAGGCCTCTCTGGGCAGAGCTGGCCAGCAATGCCTCCTGCCTGTCACAGCCCCTCTCACCTCTGTCCCAAAGCATCCCCTGGCAAAGGCTCCCACACCACTGGGCCAGGCAGGAGCTGCCCCAGGGGAGCAACAGGAGGATTTGCAAGCATGAACCTCCAGTTGATTCACTTCCTGAGGCTGTAAGGACTAAATAAAACCTGGCTTTATTGGGGATCTAAACGAGCTTTATAGACCAAGAGGCTCAAGATGCAGCACGGGTGGCACATCAGCTCCCTGGGCAGCTTTCTCTGCCAGTTCCACTCCACTGCTTTTAAAATAACCATCACCTCTTGGCAGCCCAGCTCCTGCCTCCCACCCCAGAGAGTCCCAATTATCCCCTAGCAGCAGCATTTTTCTCCAAGCTGCAATAGAAGGTGGCTGGCTCACCTGTGCTGCTGTCCTGGGAATTAATGATCTGTCTGGAACCCTCTTGGATCTTGAGCCAGCCCATAAATTTGGGGGGGAAGGGGAAGGGGGTGAGCAATGCTCTGGTGTTGCCTGTCATGTCTCTGCCCCATCAGCTGCCACCCAGTCCTGCTTGTGCTGCTTCTGAGGGAAAACCTCTCTTGTTGGGCTGTTGGTGACTGCACAACATTCCGGGGTGCTGGATGCAACAGGGTCCTCAGGGCAGCCCCTCGTGCCTCATCCCACCTGGATCCCCAGCTGCTGGGAGCAGAGGGTGCCTTGGTCTGTAAAATCCCACCTGAGGGCAAGGGGTGGGCTTGGCTGGTTCAGTGGTGCCAGGGCTGGGTGGGAACGGTGGCTTTGGGTGCAGAACTGGCACCAAATGGTTTGTGGGCTGGGGGTGCCCGTGCCAGGGCTGCATGTGGCTCAGGGTGTGTTGGCTCCTATCACTGCTGGGCCTGGGCACCCCAACATGGAGATGCCAGCAAGGGTTGGAGCTGCTGGGCTGGCAGCAGCTCCCAGAGGACCTGGCTTAAAAAAGAATGGACTTGATCATCTGGAAATGCTGTTTTTTCTGCCTATTCCTAGTCCTGGATATGTCTGAGCAATCACTGGAACATCCCTCTGCCTTCCCAAGCCCTTTTCCAAGCAGGTCTCCAGTGCTTGCCCTGGTCTTCCCAGCCAGGACACGTTTCCATCTGCAAGGGACAGCTAAGGATGACACAGAGATTAAATCCACTTTTTATTAAGTAGGAGCATGGAAGAGATGTAAAGGGAAGCCAAGACACTGCCATGTGAGAGATTCCAATTACTGCAGCTAATGACAACAAATAAATCTCTAGCTGGGAGGGGGAAGAGAGGGAAAAGCAGTGTCAAGACTATAAATAAAAATCAAACAATTGCAAATCAAACAGGAACCTGTCAGCTACACCCTCTGAGTGCAGGTGGATGTGACAGTTTATTTAACAACCAGAGCACATGTGTGGGGAGCCCCTGGGGTCTCCTTGGGGGGAGGGGAGCAGTGGGACCTTTTGATGGCATCTCTGGCAGCATCACAGCAAGAAGAGCCTCCTGGAAGATTTGTTGGTTGTTTTTTCAACCTGTTTTCTTCCTCAGGCAGCTGTGAAACCAGGACAGGGATGTTGAAAGAATCATATTGTTCTGGAAATCCATTTTCCATACCTAGAATTGGAGCCAGGGGTGATTTCTGAGCCTCGCCCTCCTTAGTAATTCAACTTCTTTCTGGATTTTGTGGGTTCCCCCACTCCCCATTTTTCATGTTGATGGCATCAAAACCCTCCCTTACTGGGGCAGCAAAGGGGTCTGGTGAGTGGGTGTGTGGTCCCTGCCCTGGGGTCCCCCCATAGCATCCTGCTGCTGGCTCAGCATCTTTCTCCACCCCAGCATCTCCTCCTGCAGAGGTTTGGCCACCGTGGGCTCCTGGAGCAGGGTTAGGGTTTAGGGTTAGGGGTCTGGGCAGTGGGTCAGAGCCAGAGAGAGGTAACAGGGCTGCTCCATGCTCATCTGGGGCTCGTTAGGAAATCATTAAGCAGCTTTTCCCTCCCACTCCCTGGGTAAAATGGCAAATGTGGACAGTCCAGGCAAGAGAAACCCATTTATTTCCCTTAAGGGGTTTATCACCAGATGAAGGAGCTGCTGAAGGTGTAAGCAGGGTGGTTTATTTCCCCAGGTGATGGATCAAGCTGCCACACAGGCTGTGGGAACCAGACCCTGCTGGCTGATGGACCTCTGGGCACATGGATTCCAAGGTCTTGCTTTAATTCAGACCTGTCTCCCTGGTGTCAAGCTTTTTGTCTTTTTTTTTTTAATATATTTTCCCCCTCCCCCCTTTAAAAAGACTCCCCAAAATAACC